TGTGGGGGGGGGTGGCAGTGAGCATGGGGTGGCAGGGCAGGGGCCTGCCCAACTTCTGCTTTGCCCCCTTGCAAACACCAACAGCCTCACCCTCCATCTGGAACAAAAGGTGTCCTGCCTGGAAACTTGCAAAGAACAATTTTTCCAACTCTTTAGTCGGTCTACAAACGAAAGAGACCCCGGGGGGAATGATAAACCGCTCTATGAATATGAGGCTGCAGCCAGCCAGCAGGGCAGATGACACTCTGGCGTGCATCAGTCGGTTGCATCTCCAGCAAAGCCAAGGAGGTAATTCTTCTGCTCTGCTCTGCTCTGCTCTGCTCAGCCCTGGTGAGACCACAGCTGGAGTGCTGCGTCCGGTTCTGGACATCGCACTTCAACAAGCATGTGGCGAAGCGTGAGAGAGTCCAAAGAAGAGCCACCTGTAGGATGAGTCTTACGTGGCAGGCCATATGAGGAAAGGCTGAGGGATCAGGGAAAAGAAGGCTGAGAGGGGACCCGGTAGCAACTTATTGCTACACTAGGGGAGTACAGCAAGGGCTCAGTGAGCATTGACCAGGGCACCCAAGGGGAAAACCAGGAGTAATGGCCACAAACACCTGGAAGATCAATTCAGGCTCAACATCAGGAAAAAACTTCACAGTGAGGGTGTCCAGACTGTGGAATAAGCTCCCTCCAGAGGTGGTGCAATCACCTACCCTGGAAATCTTCAAGAGGAGACTAGACAGTCACCTTGCTGGGGTCACCTGACCCCCAGTTGTCTTTACTGCTTGGTGCAGGGGGCTGGACCCGATGATCTTCCAAGGTCCCTTCTGGCCTTACAATCTATGAATCTAATAAAAAATGTCACGTCTATCCAAAGAACCTTGTTTGCCCTACAGCACACACAGACCAGCAGACTCTCCCTTCCTGAACAAGGGTGTTTGTGCCCGAGAGCTTGCAGAGAACAATTTTTCCTCCTATTTAGTTGGTTTAATAAAAGATATCACATCTACCCAAAGAACCTTGTCTGCCCTCCTCCTATGAGGCACTCAGGCCTGATGCTGCTCCCACTGAAGTCGGTAGGAAAGGGTGTGAAGAGCCAAGGAACAGTCCCTAAAGTCAGTGAGATTGGGTGTGAAGGACCCAGAAGCAGTCCCAAAAGTTAGTAGAAGCAGTCCCTAAATTTGGTAGCAAAGGGTGTGAAGGGCCCAGGAGCAGTCTCTACTTGGGCTTCTTGCATGAGGCAGTCATGAGAGAAGACGGCTCCAGCTCCTTGTCAGGGCTTGGGCTTTAAAATCCAGGTGGACACAGTTCTAGCAAGGGAAAACTTTCTCAGGAGGACAGTAGTAAAGCATTGGAACTGGGTGCCCAGAGAGGTGGTGGAATCACCATCCTTAAAGTTTTTAAGACCCAAAGGATGAGAGAGTTGGGGCTGGTCCTGCTTTGAGCAGGGGATTGGACTAGATGACTTCCTGAGGTCTCTTCCAACCTCTATTTTCTATGATAACCCCTATTGAAAAAAAACAAAACAAAACACATAAGCAAGAGCTTGAGTGTATCCCTGTTTAGGGTTGCACCTCATCAAGGGGTGACCAAGAAAATGAAAATGCAACTGGAACCCAGTAATCATATCCCTGCCAGCTAATGCAGGTAACAGCAGGAGGAAAGAAAAGCTGAAACCCTTCAGTGATCCTGGTGAGTTGTGTGAATAATGTCATTGACGTAAGCTATACAATCAAAACCCTAGGCTCTTACCCTAAACACATTCATGCCTGCAAGTAACTACATACGCAAGTAGTCCTGCTGATATCAAAGACACTGGTTGCTTGTGCTGCTCCTGTGAAGGTCTTTACAGGATAGCAGCTTTGGAGGCTGATTCAGGGAAACATCCTCCCTCAGGAAAAGTAAATGATCAGAGCTTTAACTCCCATTTAAGTCAGTGTGTTAGAAAAGTATAATGTCTGCACGTGTACTTTCTTGCCCACACTTAACTACATTTCTGTACTGGCACCTTAGTTTGCTTTTGCTACAAGTAGTAAGAATCAAGCTAAACATCATTTAATGTTGTTACTTTCATTTTTATGTTAATACATTTTTATTAAGTTTTACAATGCAAATAAATTCACAAGAATAACATGGGCACAAATTGTTGTTACTAATAATCATGCCTAGCACTTTTCATGTTCAGATCATTGAAACTACACAACATCCCTGCCAGGTAAAAATGATCTATATCTATTCTATACATAGTAATTTAAGGATCCAAATTTTGAAATGAATTCTTCAGAGAAGAGATCATAAAAAGGGAAGTTACGTGAACACTTTTTTTCTAGACAATTGGGCAGAATTTAAAACTTTACGTAAGAATAGGGATATAAGCTGATGTAAACATGCAGATATATACCATTCCATAACAGAAGTTTTAGTAGAGTTTCCTGAAAGTTGTTTAGCATTTACAATGTACTATGCCTGATTATATTGTTAGTTCTCCTCTCACTCTTTAAAGTTGCTTACTGTGAATTGTTTAAAGCACTTGTTTAGAATAGTAATCAGGGCTGAAAAGGTTGGGGGATAAAAGGCAGAATAAAAATGTTGAGTGACATTTTAAAATAGGTATATACTTATACACACACACACTTGACCTTTTTCCTTTCTTTTTATATAACTTCTTTTACCTTTACTTAAAACTGCTTCACAGTTAGTGTGTTAGCATTAGTGACTGTACAAATGTGCCTTTTGAATGGAGGCAATGAGCTCTTGTTTGCTTGCTTTGCTCTTCAGAATTCAAAGATGGGTTGCTTTTTTGGCTTTTGCCACCTTTTATTTCTGAGACTTTCTGTCAGCTGGTGAAAGCCAAAGTTAGCCTAGCTCAGGTTTGACTTAAAAACTGGCTGAAAATTTAGTCCATTATATACAAAGCAAAATAAACAGTAAGAGCAAAATCCAGCTGCTAGGAATTCGAAAAAAACTGTTTTATTAACATGAAATTGTTTGCTTTTTTGGTATTCATTGTAACCAAGTTTGAGAGTCGGGAAGACATTAAGTAACAAACTATTAATGATCAACAAGTGAAACATCCTGGAAAGCTTTGAAAAATATTTTATCATTGTATGGACCTATTATTAAATAATAATAAAAATGTGGTAGCCTGCATCTTGCTTTCTGAACTAAACTCAAAAAAGGACATTTCTAAAAGTACGTGTTATATATTCAGGGGTTTAGGTTGTAGCCGTGTTGGTCTAAGGACATAGGCAGACAAGGTTCTTTGGGTGAATTTGATATCTTTTATTAGACCAACCCAAATAGTTGGAGAAAAGTTATTAAGCAAGCTTTTGGGTTCAAAAACCCTTCGTCAGGCTAAGGAAGTTTCAGCACTTGGTGTGTGCTCTTCCTGGATGGAATGAAAAGTAAACAAGCCAGGGGCTGGGCTGGGCTGGGCTGGGCTGGGGAGTCAGTTGCCAGGCAGATTACAATGTATCAAAAATCCAATGTCTATGTTTAGTCCATGATCTCTAGTATCCAGCAGGTTGATGAAATGGAGCTCATAGGCTCGTCTCTGGGAAGTGTTGTGTAAGTTTCCCTTGAGGATCAGGACTGAGAGATTGGAGAGAGAGTGGCCCTCCTGTGAGAAATGTGCCCCCACCGGTAATTGGGTATTTCTGTCTTTGATGGATTTCCGGTGTGCGTTCATTCTGGTGCGCAGTTGTTGTTTGGTCTCTCCTACTTATTTTCCATCAGGGCATTTGGTGCATTGGATGAGGTATATTACATTTCTGGAGGTGCAGCTGTAAGATCCAGGGATGCTGATGGCTCTGTTGTGGGGTGTAGTAATTGTGGGGGAGGTGGAGATGTGTTGGCAGGTTTTGCATTTCTTGTCATGGCACGGTCTGGATCCTTTTGGTGTGTTCTGGGCTTGAGGAAGTTTGCTGCTGGTGATGAGATTGGCGAGGTTCGGTGCTTGTTTGAAGGCTAGGATGGGTGACTCTGGAAAGATCTTTTTAAGAATAGGGTCTCTGTCTAGTATGGGTTGCAATTTTTTGAGGATTTTCCGTACAGGTTCAAGGGAGGGGTGATACATCCTAACCAGCGGTGTGCGATTTGTGGGAGTTTTTCTTCTGTACTGCAGCAGTTCTTCACATGGTATCTGGGTGGCTTTTTCAAACGTGCGATCGACCTCTCTGGACGAGTGTCCTTGTTGGGTGAAAGCCTTTTTAAGATT